ATCATCTCCTTTGTCTTGATCACGTTGAGGGAGAGGTTGTTGTCCTGGCACCACACTTCCAGGTCTCTGACCTCCTCCCTACAGGCTTTCTCATCGTTGTCAGTGATCAGGCTAGTCAGTCAAGTGTTTCCGTGGACCACTATAGGCCTGGAAAGAACAGCTAGTGTTCCCTTGAGCACCCCATGCAAATGTCGTTGAGTTTATTTATCATTTTCATAAAACAGTGACTAGATTACAAAACCAACCTTGGGGTTCCAATGTGGGTAGGAGATTGCGCAAAAGCATATCACCATGAGATACTTCAGCATTATGCTGAAGATAACCTTTTCAGAACAAAATAGCACATATGACAAAGAATAAAATCTTCATCTGATCCTGGCTACAAATTTCTTTAAAGCCACAGTCCTTGAGTTTGTATTTCAGCCATTATTGTATGGAACTTCGTTCCATCTCATATTGCTCAAATAAACAGCAAACTTGGTTTCAAAAAACAGATAAAGCAACACCTCACGGCACAACGCCTCTCCCCTATTTGACCTAGATAGTTTGTGTGTATGTATTGATATGTAGGCTACGTGTGCCTTTAAAAAAATTATGTATGTAGTTCTGTCCTTGAGCTGTTCTTGTCTATTAATATTCTGTATTATGTTATGTTTCATGTTTTGTGTGGACCCCAGGAAGAGTAGCTGCTGCTTTTGCAGCAGCTAATGGGGATCCTAATAAAATACCAAAAAATACAAAAAGATGGCAGCCCCACCACTTGGTTTGGTATAAAGTTAAGAGATGGGGCTGAGAAAATGTAACTACTTTCAAATCCAAACCCAGGTCCCTGCGACTGTTAGTCCAATAGCTTAACTGTTACACAAAGAGGTCCAGGTTAGGTGTTGTACTAACATGTCTCCATAATTCACAAGTCCCTTGTGCCCATACCTTTGGGACATACTTTACCGGGGTGCCACCCCACTTCTAACACCAATATAGCGAATTTGTGGGGTAGCTCAACTCAATCCGAGTCTCTCAACGAGATTGCTGGGTGTTGGTGTAAACTCGCTACAATATCATTAGCTAATTGAAATTACCATTGAACAGCAGGAAATATCCCAGATTGTGCCATTAATCAGCCACACTTTTTAAAACTATTTTTTACATTGCAGAATAATAGTGAAGACATCAAAACTATGAAATAACACATATGGAATCATGTAGTAACCAAATAAATGTTAAACAAATCAAAATATATTTTATATTTGAGATTCTTCAAATAGCCACCCTTTGCCTTTATGACAGCTTTGCACACTCTTGGCATTCTCTCAACCAGCTTCATGAGGTAGTCACCTGGAATGCATTTCAATTAACAGGTGTGCCTGCTTAAAAGTTAATTTGTGGAATTTCTTTCCTTCTTAATGCGTTTGAGCCAATCAATTGTGTTGTGACAAGTTAGGGGAGGTATACAGAAGATAGCCCTATTTGGTAAAAGACCAAGTGCATATTATGGCAAGAACAGCCCAAATAAATGCTTCACAGAGTTCAAGTCACAGACACATCTCAACATCAACTGTTCAGAGGGGACTGTGTGAATCAGGCCTTCAAGGTCGAATTGCTGCAAAGAAACCACTACTAAAGGACACCAATAAGAAGAAGAGACCTGCTTGGGCCAAGAAACACGAGCAATGGACATTAGACCAGTGGAGATTTGTCCTTTGGTCTGGAGTCCAAATTGGAGATTTTTGGTTCCAACCGCCGTGTCTTTGTGAGACGCAGTGTGGGTGAACGGATGATCTCTGCATGTGTAGTTCCCAACGTAAAGCATGGAGGAGGAGGTGTTATGGTGTGGGGGTGCTTTGCTGGTGACACTGTCTGTGATTTATTTAGAATTCAAGGCACACTTAACAAGCATGGCTACCACAGCATTCTGCAGCAATACGCCATCCCATCTGGTTTGGTTTAGTGGGAAGGAAAAGCAGCCAACAAGTGCTCAGCATATGTGGGAACTCCTTCAAGACTGTTGGAAAAGCATTCCAGGTGAAGCTGGTTGAGAGAATGCCAAGAGTGTGCAAAGCTGTCATCAAGGCAAAGGGTGGTTATTTGAAGAATCTCAAATATAAAATATATTTTGATTTGTTTAACACGTTTTTGGTTACTACATGATTCCATATGTGTTATTTCATAGTTTTGATGTTTTCACTATTATTCTACAATGTAGAAAATAGTAAAAATATAGAAAAACCCTTGAATGAGTAGGTGTGTCCAAACTTTTGACTGGTACTGTATATTTTTTTATTAATATATATTTTTGATTTTGATTTTGCAGAGCACCCTCAGCACCACTACTTTCTGCGACTATGTGGTTTAGTATGGTTTAGAAACTTGGGAACCAAGCTCCAGTTACCCTGTTATCGCCTGGAGATGTTGAAATATCTTCACACCTAGAAAAGTCTCCCATAGCTTCAAAGTACTGTAACACATCAATCAAAGTGCGATCTGTTAAACTCTATCAATCACGTTTTACATGTCTCTTTAAAAAAACATGTTTTTATTTTATTTTTTAAATTAAAGTGTCAAAATAAGGCATATTTAGAAATAGCGTACTTACTGGGATGTAGTTCCAGTCAGGGTTTTGTCTGCATGGCGTTCCCAGAGGAATAACTCTTACCTATACTGTAGCGAGAGAGACACACCTCCACACCTCACCTCCTTCAACGCAATAAACTAAACAGACAGCTGTGTTTCGTGTGTGTGTGTGTGTGTGTGTGTGTGTGTGTGAGAATAACATAATTTTCCAATATATCTTGATATTCTTTCATTAAAAAAAAAAAACATCAAATTAAAAAGTGCATATTGTCCATTGGGTTTTATTAAATGTATTTATATGTACTGTATGTGCGATATATATATACTGCAATTTAGCTTTTAGCTGAAATATTATCTTCTCAGGTAGGCCTATTAATAATTTAGAAAGCAATATGAGAAATACAAGCAGAAATACAAGCAATAAGATGACAATTAATATCCGGGACACACGAAAGCAGCGCAAGTTATGTTGAATTCACCAATGCAAGCGCATCAGGCTGTAATTTCATAAAGTAGATGACTCTTTTATACTCGCTTGTGTGTCCGTCCTATTATCCTTTAGTAGTAATGTATACCCGTGTGTGAATCCTTTATCTTATAACTTTTTGACAACCAAGATTACATTTTCTGTAGGATACAGCAATGACCCGTTGGAACCGAAACTTGGCATGGAAATGTTTTAGCCTACAACACGTTTAAACTTTCGGTCTTGTAGAACATTTGGTTAGTGCAATTGGTGATGATATGATACAGTACACTGGCTGGCTCATGTGTAGGTGTGGGTCTGGGATGAGGGGTGTGTCTGTGGCAATACACTGCGGTTTGGCGTGCAGCAAGTTAGCAGTGCTTGCTGTGACTTGTAGTGCAGTGCATTGCGGGCGGTATGGAAGCGGGTTTAAATGAATTGACAACCCAAATCATTGCGCTGCCCAGATAGAAATGTGTCACAGGCCGGATTCGCCCCGCGGGGCTTGTGTTTGACACGTGTTCTAGAGTGACTCTAACTTGTTTTGTTATTGCTTTAATGGTATGAATTTGAAATGGGTTTGTCCATGGCTCCCTAGGCAGACGGGTTTCCTCCCACATTATATGCCCTAGGTCTGGGATTTCCGAGACTAGGGTACAGACCAATTACCATTGAGGGTTTTATACCCATAATCTGTGCATGGGTGCCAATTCACCATATGTTGTTATCACTATTGAAAGTCCATTGTCTATCAACTCTATCTGTAAATTATACATGAGGAAAAACTATAGGCTTTAATTACATTAAATTATGTAATTGTCAATACATTAAAAACCTGCCAAGCAAAAACAAGTGCACATCATTCTGAGAAGACCGCGCACGTTGGACGTGAGTCTAGCTACGCAAGTACGTAGTGGAGACACGCGCAATGATAGCCGGAAGCATCGACACGGTGAAAATAGAATTCAGTGTAGTTCGCAAGTGCAAAGCTTCCACTGTCTGCCGTTTTCACTAAAGTTAGGTCGATAAAATACAGACCTCTCGACGTGGTGGTGGAGGAAATGTTGTGGAGAAGGCTGTTCCTTTTTTCAACGGAGTTACTCGGTGGGGGTTGAGCTGACGTGGGGAGAAGTTCGAGCTGCCAGAAAAGAGCAGATAAACAAACAAACAACCAGCGGATTAATCAACCGAACGACTGTCGGAACGGGGGATAACCAGGGGAGACGGGGAAAATGTCAACGAGACCAATTCGTCGCTAGAGTTTTTGACCCAAGAATGGTTCAAATAGTTTCATAACGTTGTTGTTTACCCCCATGCCAAGTGCCAGCAGTGGCACAAAGAACAAAAATACCACGCGAGGAGAAAATTATTTCAATGTGTTCCTGTCTAGTTTGTCAAGATAGAACAGTTCTGTCAACATGAAACTTCACATGTGCCTATGATTTGACTGTATGCGTCACCAGTTACAAAATAAATAGCTTGTTATATCCCATTGAAAACAGGACAAGATAGTACAAACACTGCGTGGATATAGGTAATTAATGTTTAATTAGCTTGAATCCATTTGAGTTGTCAAAGGCCTAATCGTTGCAGTCAGCCCCAGGCTTTGCTACACGATACAGAAATTGTCCTACTTTGAATTCGACATGATGTTGCTGTTTGCCAGCCTTGACATTGCGCTCTCTGTACTCAAACTGCATGCAAATCTTCCTTAATAGCCTAATTAAACTATTGTTTGTTAATATTGCTCCTGAGGTCATAAAGTAGCCTCTCTGAAAAATGCATGCCCATTGTTTGGCCTATATATTTATTGTAACCAGTAAGCCAACAAGGTCCAGTTATTAGTTGATTTGGTTGTGTCATTATAAGTCAAATAGCCAACCTACAAGGAGGAAAAAAATGAATTCTGAAATGTCCCTTTCCCTCTCTTTATGTGCCTACTGGTGTCAGAAGTGGGAAAGCCATGGCCCACCATTCGACGCCCAGTTCCCAGAAGGCCCTGATGATGGAGCTGAAGTCCCTGCAGGAGCAGCCAGTGGAGGGCTTCCGCATCGGCCTGGTGGAGGAGTCGGACCTCTACAACTGGGAGGTGGCCATCTTTGGCCCTCCCAACACACTGTATGAGGGAGGCTACTTTAAGGTGAGGCAACTGTGGAGGGGTTGCGTAGGGGTGTAGCAGGTTTGTGCGTGGTGAGCCAACCATGGAGGAGGGGGGGGGGAGGGTTCGAGGGTGGGATCCACAACACGCTGCTTTGTTGCCTAGGGGTGTAGCAGGTTTGTGTGTATGTCTACAGGTGTTTCTCCCTTCAAGCTCGCTCGCTCGCTCTCTCTCTGTCTGTTTCTCTCTCTTCGTGTCTTTCCCACTCACCCCCTCCCTAGCCAGCCTCCTTCCCCCTTGCAGTTTGATCGTTATGCTCCAGACTCCTATTTTTAGCTGTGGACGGATATAAATGGCACCTCAGCATAGAGCGAGGGAGGAAGACAAGGGCATGATGAGAATCTTCTCCTTTCCCCTGAGTGACTTATTCAGTGTGGCTAGTCCACCACATTAGCATATAAGTCTGGTGAGAGGGAGCCCACATCCAGGCCATAGCATGCACTCTTCCAACTGGGCAAAAATGATTGCAATGACATTAATGCAATGATCATTATAACATTTTGTGAGAGACATCATGGTCAGGTTGTAAAGGAAAGTTTTGTACATGTCAAATCAAATCAAATCAAATTTTATTGGTCACATGCGCCGAATACAACAGGTGCAGACATTACAGTGAAATGCTTACTTACAGCCCTTAACCAACAGTGCATTTATTTTTAACAAAAAAAGTAAAAATAAAACAACAACAAATAAAGTGTTGAGAAAAAAGAGCAGAAGTAAAATAAAATAACAGTAGGGAGGCTATATATACAGGGGGGTACCGGTGCAGGGTCAATGTGCGGGGGCACCGGCTAGTTGAGATAGTTGAAGTAATATGTACATGTGGGTAGAGTTAAAGTGACTATGCATAAATAATTAACAGAGTAGCAGCAGCGTAAAAAGGATGGGGTGGGGGGGCAGTGCAAATAGTCCGGGTAGCCATGATTAGCTGTTCAGGAGTCTTATGGCTTGGGGGTAGAAGCTGTTGAGGAGTCTTTTGGACCTAGACTTGGCACTCCGGTACCGCTTGCGATATACAGTGAGATATACAAGGCGGAGACTCAATCAAGCTAGTCGTCTTGACTTCTTTCTTATGTCATTCTCGTTGGCACCAAAAGTGAAAGTGTTGATAGGGGACAGAATGTGGTCGAACCATCATATAATTGGCATATACATTACTCTTTCTGAATTTCCACGTGGGCGAGGATATTGGAAATGTAATCAAAGCCTATTGGATGATAACTTGTTTTTAATTAGGACAGAGGAATTTATAACTTAATTTTTCTGACATAACATAGGTACAGCAAATCCCCTTATTGTATGGGACACTTTTAAATGTGCCTTTAGAGGCCATGCAATTCAGTACTCTTCTCGAAAACAAAAGCAATTTAGGTCAAAAGAGTCCATACTAACAAAGGAAATAGAAGGTCTAACAGAACAGATAGATAGCAATAAAAACTAACAGAGGCTCAGAATAAGTTAGAGGAAAAATAAATTGAGGAACTTATTCAAGATCAAGTGTAATATATTATAAAAAATAAAGCTAACTGGATGGAATATGGGGAAAAATGCACCAAATTCTTTTTTAATCTTCAACATAGAAATGCTACAAAAAATAATTTACTGAAATTGGTTACAAATGACAGAGTAACCCATAATTCACCAAATGATATTTTGAAGGAGGAAGCAAAGTACTTTAAGCATATGTTTTCGTTTCAGTCGCCTCCCATCTCCTCTAACTGAAGCTAATTGTAGGGATTTTTTTTCTATTGATAATGTAAAATTAACAGCCATACAGAAAGACTCATGTGAAGGTGAAATTACAGAGGAGGAACTTCTGGATGCAATTAAAGACTTTAAGTCCAGGAACACTCCAGGGTTGGATGGCATACCAGTTGAGGTATACCAAACCTTTTTTGATATACTCAGAGGACCGTTATTAGCATGTTATAACCACTCCTATGTAAATGGTAGATTATCAGACACCCAAGAAGAAGGTCTGATTTCATTATTACTGAAACAGAATACAAGTGGGAAATATAAAGATCCAGTCCATACACTTACACTTTAGTGTTGTGATGCAAAAATTCTAGCAAAATGTATAGCGCATAGAATTAAAAAGGTATTGTCGGACATTATTCATTCTAATCAGACAGGTTTTTTTACATGGACGATGGAGATAATATAAGGCAAGTACTGGAAACAATAGAACACTATGAAAAATCTGGGAAACTAGGCCTGCTATTCATAGCTGACTTTGAAAAGGCTTTTGATAAAGTACGGCTGGAGTTTATATATACATGCCTGGAGCATTTGAATTTTGGAGAATCTCTTATAAAATGGGTTTAAATCATGTATAGTAACCCGAGGTGTAAAATAGTAAATAATGGCTATTTCTCAGAAAGTTTTAAACTGTCGAGGAGTAAAACAAGGTTGTCGACTATCGGAATATCTATTTATTATGGCCATCGAAATGTTAGCTATTAAAATCAGATCCAACAATAATATCAAGGGATTAGAAACCCAGGGCTTAAAAACAAAGGTGTCATTGTATGCTGATGATTCATGTTTTCTTTTAAATCCACAATTTGAATCCCTCCACAGCCTCATAGAGGATCTAGATACATTTTCTAACCCCTCTGGATTACAACCAAATTATGATAAATGTACTATATTACGTATTGGATCACAAAAAAATAAAACATGTACAGTGGGGAAAAAAAGTATTTAGTCAGCCACCAATTGTGCAAGTTCTCCCACTTAAAAAGATGAGAGAGGCCTGTAATTTTCATCATAGGTACACGTCAACTATGACAGACAAATTGAGAAAAAAAAATCCAGAAAATCACATTGTAGGATTTTTAATGAATTTATTTGCAAATTATGGTGGAAAATAAGTATTTGGTCAATAACAAAAGTTTCTCAATACTTTGTTATATACCCTTTGTTGGCAATGACACAGGTCAAACGTTTTCTGTAAGTCTTCACAAGGTTTTCACACATTGTTGCTGGTATTTTGGCCCATTCCTCCATGCAGATCTCCTCTAGAGCAGTGATGTTTTGGGGCTGTCGCTGGGCAACACGGACTTCCAACTCCCTCCAAAGATTTTCTATGGGGTTGAGATCTGGAGACTGGCTAGGCCACTCCAGGACCTTGAAATGCTTCTCACGAAGCCACTCCTTCGTTGCCCGGGCAGTGTGTTTGGGATCATTGTCATGCTGAAAGACCCAGCCATGTTTCATCTTCAATGCCCTTGCTGATGGAAGGAGGTTTTCACTCAAAATCTCACGATACATGGCCCCATTCCTTTACACGGATCAGTCGTCCTGGTCCCTTTGCAGAAAAACAGCCCCAAAGCATGATGTTTCCACCCCCATGCTTCACAGTAGGTATGGTGTTCTTTGGATGCAACTCAGCATTCTTTGTCCTCCAAACACGACGAGTTGAGTTTTTACCAAAAAGTTCTATTTTGGTTTCATCTGACCATATGACATTCTCCCAATCCTCTTCTGGATCATCCAAATGCACTCTAGCAAACTTCAGACGGGCCTGGACATGTACTGGCTTAAGCAGGGGGACACGTCTGGCACTGCAGGATTTGAGTCCCTGGCGGCGTAGTGTGTTACTGATGGTAGGCTTTGTTACTTTGGTCCCAGCTCTCTGCAGGTCATTCACTAGGTCCCCCCGTGTGGTTCTGGGATTTTTGCTCACCGTTCTTGTGATCATTTTGACCCCACGGGGTGAGATCTTGCGTGGAGCCCCAGATCAAGGGAGATTATCAGTGGTCTTGTATGTCTTCCATTTCCTAATAATTGCTCCCACAGTTGATTTCTTCAAACCAAGCTGCTTACCTATTGCAGATTCAGTCTTCCCAGCCTGGTGCAGGTCTACAATTTTGTTTCTGGTGTCCTTTGACAGCTCTTTGGTCTTGGCCATAGTGGAGTTTGGAGTGTTACTGTTTGAGGTTGTGGACAGGTGTCTTTTATACTGATAACAAGTTCAAACAGGTGCCATTAATACAGATAACGAGTGGAGGACAGAGGAGCCTCTTAAAGAAGAAGTTACAGGTGTGTGAGAGCCAGAAATCTTGCTTGTTTGTAGGTGACCAAATACTTATTTTCCACCATCATTTGCAAATAAATTCATTACAAATCCTACAATGTGATTTTCTGGATTTTTATTTCTCAATTTGTCTGTCATAGTTGACGTGTACCTATGATGAAAATTACAGGCCTCTCATCTTTTTAAGTGGGAGAACTTGCACAATTGGTGGCTGACTAAATACTTTTTTTCCCCACTGTACATTACCGTGTAGTTTACCAATAAAATGGTCTGATGGTGATGTGGATATACTCGGTATACATATCCCAAAATAAATAAATGATCTCACTCCAATACATTTTAATAGAAAGTTAGCAAAAATAGATAAGATCTTGCTACCATGGAAAGGTAAATACCTGTCTATTTGTGGAAAAATCACCCTAATTAACTCTTTAGTATTATCCCAGGCGCCTCACAGGTCCTCAACTGGCAGCTTCATTAAATAGTACCCGCAAAACACCAGTCTCAACGTCAACAGTGAAGAGGAGACTCCGGGATGCTGACCTTCTAGGCAGAGTTGCAAAGAAAAAGCCATATCTCAGACTGGCCAATAAAAAGAAAAGATTAAGATGGGCAGTCTGAGATATGTATTTTTCTTTGCATCTCTGCCTAGAAGGTTAGCATCCCGGAGACGCCGCTTCACTGTTGACGTTGAAACTGGTGTTTTGCGTGTACTATTTAATGAAGCTGCCAGTTGAGGACCTGTGAGGCGCCTGTTTCTCAAACTAGACACTCTAATGTATTTGTCCTCTTGCTCAGTTGTGCACTGGGGCCTCCCACTCCTCTTTCTATTCTGGTTAGAGCCAGTTTGCGATGTTCTGTGAAGGGAGTAGTACACAGTGTTGTACGAGATCTTCAGTTTCTTGGCAATTTCTCGCATTGGAATAGCCTTCATTTCTCAGAACAAGAATGGACTGACGAGTTTCAGAAGAAAGTTATTTGTTTCTGGCCATTTTGAGCCTGTAATCGAACCCACAATTGCTGATGCTCCAGATACTCAACTAGTCTCAAGAAGGCCAGTTGTATTGCTTCTTTAATCAGCACAACAGTTTTCAGCTGTGCTAACATAATTGGAAAAGGGTTTTCTAATGATCAATTAGCCTTTTAAAATGATAAACTTGGATTAGCAAACACAACGTGCCATTGGAACACAGGACTGATGGTTGCTGATAATGGGCCTCTGTACGCCTATGTAGATATTCCATTTAAAATCAGCAGTTTCCAGCTACAATAGCCATTTACAACATTAACAATGTCTACACTGTATTTCTGATCAATTTTATGTTATTTTAATGGACAAAAAAATTACTTTTCTTTCGAAAACAAGGACATTTCTCAGTGACCCCAAACTTTGAACAGTAGTGTATATGTATTTATATGTATGTATGTGTATATATAGATATATATATTTGCGCAAAAATATATGGGGGATTGGAAGTGATGCAGACCGTTACATTGATGGAAGTTACAATCTATCTGCAATATTAAAGCTGATCTACCCCCTTTAAAAAAAAAAGATTTAAAAGATTTAAAAAAGAAATGTGACGTCTTTCTGAGGAACAAAGATGTTATGTGACTAATCTAGTTACATGACGTCTTCTCAACCAGAAAACCGGTTTACAAGTAGAGAACGACCGATCTAGGCTTTTTAGGGTCGATACCGATCTTTGGGTCTCAAGGAGGCCGATATTCAATATAATGAAATTTGCCAGAAACAGCCATGTATGCATTAATGAATCAATTTTAAAATCAAACAATACATTTGACTTTGTTGTTACCAATCTAACTACATAGCAACATCATGGTAATAATTTTATTTGAATGGTAAATCTCTTGATAGACTGGGTAAATGTAAGATTGCATAGGCCTACTCACAATACAGGTGAATGAATATTCAATAGGAGTGTGTGCATGCATTGAGTTACTGAGCTTGTTTTGGCTGATCAGTGGAGTCTATGGTGCTACAGATGGCAAACAATCTGTTTGCCTTCCATTTGGGACTTATATTAGCCTACTGATCAACAACATTTGCACAGAAGCAACACTCCAGCATGTCACGCCTGTATTGAAGGACATATAGACACTGCTGTTAGTTTGAGAATATAAAATAACATCTATTCAATGGAAATTGGTCCAACATAACGTCATGATTTGTGATCACAGATAGTATTTTTATTATTTTTCCGTGATCGGGAAAAATGATTCTTTTCAGCTGTGAGGATGCATCTCTAAACAACTCAGCTGCCAGGACGAATTTAGAAACAACTAAATTGGCTAGTTCAGATATCTGTTAAGAAATGGGCAGGTTGTAACTTGATCCTACTGCTACGATTGGATAGAGCGAGGCTGTAACTCCGCTCCCTTTCACATCTCCTCACAACTCTCTCCATTGCTCATATCACTTGCTGCTGTTTACTGCTACTATGAGAACTAGGTCAATGACGATGACATTTGCTACCAAGCCATAAATGTGCATAATATCTAACAGGGAGAGCGAGGGTAGGAAAAAATATTAAACGACGATGCACGTTCTGTCTGAATGACTCAAATCTGCCCATAGTTTGAGAAGTGAGAATGCACGCACGCTCGCTGATCTAAAGCTTTCTTGGTCTATAAACATGCAGGAAGATTCTTAGGTAGCTAAACCTATTGTCAACCTTTTATTTAGGCATTTAAAAACACTTACTACGTTCCCTGTTACGACAATCATCTAATCCAACTATTAACTGTCAATTTACGTATATGATTGTGGCTGGTCAGATCAGCACACCAGTAAATACCTAACTTTACACCGCAAGACAGATGGCTCGTTGCCAAAAAGGGTGCATGTTCAAAATGATAACCAGCTAACATTAGCTAGCTACGTTGGCTATTAGCTCCTATCTGATCTTAGCAACATGATTATCTAGTCAACTAGCTAGCATAGTAGCTAATATAGCTAGCTAACACCACAGATGAAAGGGTTAGTTAGCTATGTGACCTGTTATCCTAATATTTGCTATCTGCTTAGCTACCAAGCTTTCTTGCTTATTGCATGCATGTCCGGGCACGTAGACACGAGCCTTATTAGTGAATAAACAAAACTAATATTTGTAACAGGTGTTCAATTTTGGTCACTGTGTCAATTAATCAATTTCTCAATACTGCACATTTCTGTTGGAGAATGAGCTAGCTTGCTGCTTCTGCTGATTTTCCAAGCTAGACATTCCTCAGCATTGTGCAGTGCTCAGGTGGTGAGTGGTGGCTGGCATAGCAGCAGTTTTGCTATGTAGCGGGACAATCGGCAAAGCTGATACAGAAGGCCCGATAGACTACAAAAGGGCAATATCGGCCCGATTATATCGGCTCGGCCGATTATCGGTTGTTCTCTATTTACAATCATAAAATACTTTGTTTAACTAGCGGTAAAGGTGTGGGTATAACAGGAAGGCTACTGTTTGCACATGTTAAAAGTGCTCTGTTTAGTAAAAAATATATATAGGGTCCGTACAGGGACCTGATCCAAAAGGGAAGCAGTGAAGAGTATCAGAAGTAAAGCTCACACCGACCTTGTCATGTCTGCACAGGGCATGTTTTGAAACGGTGATAATGCTATCTGCTTGGAAGCAGAGCAGTGCCTCTCCCCAAAGGGCTGGGCTGCTGGACAGAATGTTCTCACGCTTTTTTTGTGGTTTCACTTTGATAGTGGATTCATTTATAAAGTGGGTTACACACGGTGGAGATATGCAGTATAGTAGTGTCCAATTGAATGGCTATGATAGTGTGATGATGGCACAGGTTTGGAATTTAGCACATATACCAAGCTCTCTCTCTCGAACTGGCTTTTGCGGAGTCAGCACAGAGGAGGCGATTGAGGAATACATTTACTCACAGACCTCCATGCCCGCTCATACATACACACACACACACAGACACACTTGGCCCCCAATAGCTCATACACACTAACATGACAGACAAACTAGGGGATCATTATTATGCTCTCCGAATTGTATCCTCCTGTAGCTCAGTTGGTAGAGCATGGCGCTTGCAACGCCAGGGTTGTGGGTTCGATTCCCATGGGGGGCCCAGTATGAAAAATGTATGCACTCACTAACTGTAAGTCGCTCTGGATAAGAGCGTCTGCTAATGACTTAAATGTAAATGTAAAATGGATCCAACTGTAATTGTCAGGGTTATTTGGCTTTAATAAATGGAATTAAATATGTTTGAAGCTGATGGCCATTTCTGTTGTCTCTATCAGTCTCACATCAAGTTCCCCATCGACTACCCCTACTCCCCTCCGACCTTCCGTTTTCTCACCAAGATGTGGCATCCCAACATCTATGAGGTAAATGTATTCCCAAAGTATATGAATCCAAACATATTTCAAGAGTTTTCGCCATCCAGAAGTTGACTGGTTTTTGTGTTTCAACAGAACGGCGACGTGTGCATCTCCATCCTCCACCCTCCCGTCGACGACCCCCAGAGCGGGGAGCTCCCCTCAGAGAGGTGGAACCCCACCCAGAACGTCAGGTACCTCAACTCGCTCCAAACCTCGTATTCATTCATTATGGCATGCAACCGAAAACGTTAAAAAATGTTTAGCTACGGAATACAAAAATAAGCTATTTTTATTGGCAAAAAAAATAAAAAATGTGCTGCCTAATGAGTACACTTCTGGCTCAACCACAAAGCTCAAACACTTTCAGATACTCAAGGTGTGCTTGATGGAACAGTTGAATCAAGCGAATAGTCCCAAAAGGGCAAACATTGCCCACCCTACACACCGGTATTTCAAATTATTTCACATTTGTATTTGACCTAAGTCAGTCTATCGCACTTCACGTTTTTACCCATTTTGAGCAAATATTTTTAAAAAGACTATCAACTTTTAACTATACATTGAAACAAATGACAGAGGACTAAACAGGCAGAAAAACCCATTGACATCACAACCTACCAGATCTTTGGGGGAGACCAAAAGACAATATGGAGTGTCATCATAATGCCTCAATTGCGTGTCAAAGGTTTAAAGTGCAGAGCTAAGGAGTAGACACAGTCCCTAACAACAGTCAAAGTGCCAAAAAGATTACACATGCCAGTCGTCGAGACACTTTCTCAACCCCCGGGGCAGGTTGAAAGTGCTGAGTGTGTGTTTAACCAAACATCCAGAGAGGAAGTAGCATCTAATGGGTGAAATGGTGAGGTAACATTGCTGTCACAAAGGAAGTCAGCTCAAATAACAACCACTCAAGGAAATCAAGTAAAGCCACATTACTTAGAAGGTAAGGTAAAGGACCCATTTGTAAATGAAATAGTCAGGTAATAGGTATGTTTTAGAGGACATCAAGTCAAATTAGTAACTTGTGTTTGTACAGGACCATCTTGTTGAGTGTGATCTCTCTGCTGAACGAGCCCAACACGTTCTCACCGGCCAACGTGGACGCCTCAGTTATGTTCCGCAAGTGGAGAGACAGCAAGGGCAAGGACAAGGAATATGCCGAGATTATCAGGTAGGAAGAACACACACACACTAACCCAACCATTTGATTTACCTTTTTCACAACAAAGTTGGCCTACCTCCACACACACATAGTCAAACAGTGAGTGAACCCTTTGCGATGTCTCTCTCCCCAACCCCCCTCCCCTCTTCCACAGGAAGCAGGTGGTGTCCACGGTGGCGGAGGCGGAGCGTGACGGTGTCAAGGTTCCCACCACGCTGGCTGAGTACTGCGTCCAGACCCGGGTTCCCTCCCAGGACAGCAGCTCAGACCTGCTCTACGACGACCTCTATGATGACGATATGGAGGAGGAGGAAGAGGAGGATGAAGAGGAGGAGGAGAGCGACATGGAGTCAGGAGGAGAGGCAGGAGGGACCAGTGGAGGAGAAGGAGGGGTCACTACTGGCTGCTATGACGACGACCAGGAGGATTCTGGGAACGAGGACTCTTGATGATGATGACGACGAATGCCCCAAATTGACGCCCCACACCCTGCCATGTCCGATCCTAGCCCCCTCTTGATTCTGTTAGGCCTGGAACATCCCCTAAAACAAAATATATGTACGTCTGGTGCATTGATAGTAAATGAATAACTGAACAAATTAGTGGATTCCAATTACAGTCGTGTACGACCGCAAAATAAAACAAAAACATCTCTGCGAATATAATTTGTGTAGTTAAGAGCAGTCGGAAATGTTTTAATTTGTCCTTTTGATATTTGACTTTACCGCATGGTTTTGGTTTCCTTATTCTATGGTCACATAGTCAAAGCCTGCCTCCCTGGTCTGATGGATTGATAGAAAGCAGACAGTTGATGAACATAAACACAAACAAACATCCGAGCCCACAGGAGCTTGTTTGTTGCAAGATGTGCAGATAATCTCTGCCTTTTGGAGAGGATCAAGTGCAGTAATATCTGAATGGAATTTATGAACGGGGAGTCGGAAAAGGGGCTTGCTCCATGGAAAGACCCAGTATTGCAGTGCCTCTGGGAACGGAGCACACAAAAAAAGATGCAGCTGAATGGAATGTGTGCTACTGCGGTTACTATTGTTTCTGTTCAACTGTCTGCGTTTTATCATGTCACTAGACGCATTTGCTTTAAGTACGTTCGGGCTTAAGTCTTGAATTTGCTAACCAAATTCTCCAAACCTGGACACCTCTTGGCCCCTTCACACCCTGGTAGTCTTTCATATTCAAGTGTAAGCTGGCTGGCTTTTTCTGTCTGTCTTTCTCAGTGTCTGGATGGCTGAATTTCAGTATTTTTGTTAGCCTGGCAGGCTGTCTTGCTCAGTCAATATGTCCCTCTTTCCGTCTCTGTCTTGTCTCACCCACGTAGCCAGCCAGCCTCAGTCGTTATCTCCGTTTGACAAACACACAAACCTACAGACACAAACTCTGCCCTGACTGACCCCACACCTCCTGTTTTAACTCTGACCTCTCCAGAGTTGGGGTGTGTTCATTAGGAACCTAACGACAGAAAACTGACTGAAACAGGGAAGGACTACCACCTAAACTATCCAATAAAAAAACCAGCTTGTTTTTGTTTTCTGTTGCAAAACGGTTTGCTACGGTGTTCCCTAATGAGTACGACTCTGTATAGGGCACTAAGAGGAAGTGCTGTCTCAGGCACAGAACCAAATGAGTTAATTCTCCTCTCCTGCCCACCCTCTCTCCATCCATCCTTTCCCTGCCTCCAAACCTCAGGGCCTTCATAGACTCTCACTGGGAGAGAACCGGGGATGTAGTGGAGGACAAACGCACCTTAACACCGTCTACGCACCTATATGTTGTGAAAAGTGTTCCAGCGCCTATTACGCTAAATTAGCGTTGTTAGCGTCCGTGTCACTCATTCAGCGTTTACCCACCTTATTTATTTACCGTACTACTACATCCCTGGAGAGAGCTCACACTCAAACTGCTCTTCAGCTTGAGCTTGGTATTGTTTTGATGGGTGTGTTTTTTTGCTGGGTTGTGTGTGTTTAGAGAGGGACCTTCAAATTTCCAACAACACCATCGGTCCCCATGTCTCCTCTACTTCAGTGATTCAGTCAGAGGAGGCTGGTGGGAGGAGCTATAGGAGCCTCCTCTGGATTCAGTGTTTTCTTCTCTTTTTTTTCTTGCTCATCGCCACCCATTTCTGTGTTGCCCTCTTCCGTTGGCCACGCTTCTCAAAACTACACCAGAAAAGGCTTCTCATTATACATGCTTGATATGCTTTCTTGGAATTGGCGCAAACTCCTGGAATTCTAGTAAGCAAGCCAGTCAGGTGGTCAAAATGGAAAGTGATGTTGAATGAGTGGAATTCTGTATTTTAATCAACTATTTACACATGCCAAGAGGCATTAGCCATTGTTTATGTTAGTTAGCACATATAGCTAAAAGAGCACATTTAGTTGTCCACAACATGTATCAGCTAAGCTGTGACTTGAGCACGTCACATTGGTGATTCAGAGCTACACATGGCCACTATTGCATTTTGTGTGTGAAAAAGGATGTTTCTTGAAACTCAGCTGCAAATACTTTGGCTAAAGAACAGCATCGGCCCTAAGTAGTAATGCTGAAATGGTGTAAGTGAGGCAACGTCACAGTCAGGCCAACCCATCAACTGTGCTCATTAGGCCTGCAGTTTTCACATGGGTGCTTGTGTTTTTTACCATTACCTGTTCAATGGAACACAGGACCTGTTACACCTTTCACTCACATGGAGGTGCTGGCCTGGATTGTATGCCAAGAAGATTACGTTTTATCACCACTTCCAGTGACGCTACAACCAATCAGTTATGGATAGGTGTGGAGTATTCATTTTCTGTTTGTAAGATCTATAAGGGAGATACTTGACTATTCAATCTAAGATTAACAGAATCAAAATGAGAACTTTTCTCCTACCTTGCTCTGTTGAACTGATGCCCTCACTGGGGCTGGCTTGAAGTCAAGTCAAAAATGAGTTGACCGATGGATCACAAATGGATTGTTGTTCTCCTCAGCCACTGGATGTTCAGGGATATAATGTCAACGACCGGGGTGAGCCATGTCTCAATACTCTAAAATGACTTCCTCTCTTCACCCCCTTTTCTTCATGATCACTGATCGGTGAAAGGAGTGGATACATTTCCACCATGTTGCTTTTTTTCCCTAACCTGCCATGCTCTTTCAGATTTTTGGTAATGAAGAGGGAAGGAAGCCATTGAAGAGGATTGAGATGCAGCCGGGGGTACTCTACTGTCTCATGCTCACTGACCTTTGCCTTCTGTGTATTGACGAGTAGGAGGCAGTTGGAACAGCGTTTACCTGGTCGAAATGACAGTCGACTAGATGGACCACATGCTAAGCTGTCAAACTCACAGTGTTGCAAAGGTGGACAGCAATGGACAATTTTTCTCATTTATTGTGTGTGGGTGAGTGTGTATTGTGTTTTTAGGAGCTTTTCCCTCGGAGGCTGAAAAGGGTCTTGTTTGGACAAAAAACAACTGTCAACTGTGCCCACAGCCAGTGATGTGGACGATGCAGTCCTCCTCTGTTTTATTTCATTTTCTCTTCCTTTTGTGTTGTGAGGATGCAAATGTCACCTATAAAATGTATATTATAAAAATTTTGAATGGACAGAATTGTCTGAAATGTCTTCAAATGTTCATTTATTATATGTTGTCAATGGTGCCAGTTGGCATTACTCATTTCTGTTTCCTAGAAAGCAGCTGCTGTACTTTTGACACGGGAAAACTGGAAATGACAAATCGTTTTTCAAAGCAGTTAGTAACCGTTGTAAAGACAATGGGCCCTGTTTGAGTAGTTTTCAAATGCATCTTTCCTTGAACCATAATAACTGAATCAACACGATTGTATAGGTGAAAGCAGGGGTTACACTACATACTAAAACACTGATCTGACATGACCAGATTGTATCCTCATCTTGAAAGTATCCAAACAGTGCCCAAGTTTCTCACTGAATTTACCACACAACTGTGCACCACAATCCTTCCACCCTTTTAATAAAATTCCTAATAAAAATGGTATGAACCATTGGGCTAAGCAATTATGGAAAGGAAGCTCGACAAGATGAAAGTGCTGGTGTAGGACAAAATTAAATAAGTTTAAACTCCAACTTTGTGTCTAACTTTCAAACGACACACACTGTAACTGAAAATTAATTTCAAGTTTATCACAGGAGTGCACGTGTCCCCAATGGCTGTAAAGACATGCTCATTTTAATTTAAATATGAATCAAGATTAATTCTTGTCAAAAGTACCTTCATCTGATTTCTCAAGCATTAAATGAGCCACTGGCTGAATTATGCCCTGGCTGGCCTGAGACTTAACTGGTGCACCTCCTGTGAAATACAACAAGTTTTTGTCTCCACCTAGTGTTGATATTTGTTGCAGGAGCACATCTTGCTGACAGTGCAGTTGGGATTTATACACTACTGTGTGATAGTTAATTGGATAAGGAAACTACTGCTGACATTGAGATCATAAAGCTAAATCACAATTTGACTGTGTATTTTCCATAAATATCTCAGGAGTAAGGCTGGAAGACTGGAGTCACACAAGTTATGTAATAAAGGTCAAATATTTGAAGGGATGGTTTTTATTCTTGTTTAAAGTGCAAGACAAGTAGGCTATTAGTCATAACAATGTTAAAGTGCAATTCTGCCACTTTTTAACCTCATATTCATTATCTCCAGCACCATACCAGTGTTTACATATGTGAAAATAGTGTGTTTCTATGATCTGTGGTTAATAAGATAAAGGTCCTAAAACATGCTTCTCTATAGCTAGGTTTCCATCCAATTGGCGACAGATTTTCATGCGAATATTCTAAAATCTGCACAAAACCATATGTGCATTTTCCCACCAGAGATGTTTCCATCAAACTGATTTATTGCGGATAAAATGCTATGTGTGATGACGTAGTGCACATAAAAACAACTTGGGTTAAATTCCCATGTACTGAATAAAAAATACAAGTTAAATGGGTTTCCATCGCATTTTCAACTCTACTGATGGTTTTGTCACAAACACTGTTGCGTTAGCCTATATAGCAAATTGTAACATTTCCTGTTTCCATTAGCCCATCTTTACTTTTTTCATGCATCAGATAATTCATCGGCATGAAATGATTGGAATAGGAACCTGGTTTGTGACATCACAGGGTATAGGATTAGTCACTGCAAATCTCAATGTTTGAAAATAACTTTTGATGATGTCATCGGGTTGAACGTTTTTACTAAAAAAAATTATACTAAACCGAAATGCGCAGTTTTCACATATGTAGACACTGGTATTGTGCTGGAGATAATCAAAATGAGTTTGAAAAGTAGCGGAATTGCCCTTTAACACCAAACAGTGGTAGTCAATGATTGGAAAGTACATGAGCTTTTTCTGACCATTCGTTTGGTGTCTGTTCCTTGGGTGTATAGTTCACAGTAGGGAGTGGGGTATGTTGAGCCATTTTTACATTCAGCATCACTACGTCAAGGGAAATATTGTAATCTTTAAAACAAAGATAACTACATATATTTCACGATGTTGTGTATCCCATGAAATAATCAGAATTCATGTAAACATAGCTTGTCCAGAAATGGGGTAAATTGAGCCGTCTTATTTGTCCGCGAAATTCTTGATATGTTTAGCATTCTCAGAATCCATGTTATCAGACAAGACCTTGTGTGCCTCTGCAACTCTTATGATAGCATCTCTTTCGCACAGGTACATGGTAATTTTATTGTTGTCAATGCCAATGTACCTCTTCAGTGTCATTCGGTAAATTTTTTCATCCCTTGATGCTGATCGAATGGAAATCTTCTCTTCTTTTACTTCCTTGGCTGCTCTTTTAAGAACCTCAAGGGGGGCTAGACCTCTGCTTGTTTTATGATTGTATACACGGGACATGATGGTGTCTGCTCTGTAACAATGAGCCCATATGCATGACAAATTGCTGAAACACTATGCGTATTATGCATAAAACGGACAAATGTAATCATCATTTGTATGGGGTATTTTGAGCCTTTGGCTAGTTTGTTCTCATAATAATCTAAAATGTATGTTTACAGGAAGTTGTATACATTCACAACACTTACTGTGACAGTCTGGTTATATCAGAAATACATTTATTGATTTCAGACACTGGACGTAGCTCTCCTCCTTCTCGCGTTCTGATTGGCTGAATGGCTAGGCAAGTGTTACGCTGAAAAGGGGGTCCGGAGTGTTCATAGTGAACATTGATAGAAAGGTCCGCTCTCCAAAGGTCATCGCATTGGGGAAAAAATACAAATTAATTAATTAACAACAAGAAAAATGACAGCACACATCTCAAAGCTAAAGATAATTAACATGTTGATAGTTAAGATGATTTTTGTATTTTGAAATCTTTAGCAGGCTATCACTTTGTAATTCATGCAAATGTCTCCATTTACTAAATAATACGGATTGATTAATTTTAAAATACATAATAATAATAATACATCATCATTTATCTTACAGAGAAAATTCTAGTCTGTCTGTGTGAATATCCACCTTGTGTTAGACAGAGATAAGAACAACATGCCACTCCAGAAGGTGAGATGGGTAGATAGGGACAACTGAAATGGGCCGGAGGGACAAGATAACGACATGGTATACCTCCTTATTAGATTAGGCCCCTGGGTACATCTAAAATGAGCTCATTACAACTTCAGCAAGAGAGGAGAACAAACTGCTAACAAGGTAAAAATTCAAAAAACAATATAACACAATTTAACAATGATTTGAAAGTGGGAATGGAAATGTGTTTTCACTTTCTGAGAGAGAGAGAGAGAGAGAGGAGTTCGTTTTTTATTTAAACTATCTTAATTAAGGATAAAATACATTTATCTTGTTTGGGTCAACTGGTTATGGTCGTGTATCTAAATAGGCCTATTAAATAGAGTGCATCAGGGCAACGTGAAATATGCAGCTTACTAAATGACATGTTTTAGCCAGAGGGTGTTGGACATGTGGCACAGGCTCCTGCTGCTCTTACTATTTATGTGCTCTCAGAAATAACTCAACTTGAACTGATATGCTCATTATTCCGCTCTGTAATACATAAAATACTTAAGGGTCAGATTCCATCAAGTAGCCATGACAGATTTATACTGTCACTTTAATTATATGGACATGCTCACAGACAAATGTTTTGAAGATGTGAGAATTCAAATACATTATGAATTGCATCTGCCTTTTAGTCCAAAGCATTTTGTCACTGTTGATGTACACAACATTAAATATTGAACCGGCACTATATTTTGATGTACAGTATAAACGTTTTAAAAAGTACTCTGTAAGGACAGTTGAAAGATGCTACAAATCTCACACACTTTTCTCTGTACTATAAGCGGTATTTGGAGTATCATCATATCCATGGAGGACAGGGGAGAGAGGGAAGAGCCTGCAGCCGGTCTGCACTTTGTGGGCTTGAAGGAGGACCTGATAAAAGCCAAGCGGTCGTTCAGGACCCTGGAGGGCAGGGATATTCTGGTGCTCTATCACCAGGAGATCTTCTATGCTCTGGACTTCCACTGTTACCGTGAGTAGAATAAATGGTCCCTCCAGATCTGTTTGTGCTGTCTTGCCAATTGCAATTACCAACTCCTATGTCATTAGCCTTGTATATGTGGAGCTAACATGCGTCTTTTGTCCTGATCTTGTCCACATTATGATTGTGCCCACATTTTTAAAAAAGATGTAGACGATTAAAATACGTATTGTGATCTAACTGTGATCAGATCTTCTTGCCTACCTACGGAGGTACACTCTTAGAAAAAAAGGTTATATCTAGACCCCAACAGGGTTCTTCGGCTGTCCCCATAGGAGAACCCTTTGAAGAACCCCTTTTGGTTCCAGATGGAACCATTTTGGTTCCAGGTAGAACCCTTTTGGGTTCCAAGTAGAACCCTTTCCACAGAGGGTTCTACATGGAACCCAAAATAGTTCTACATGAAACCAAAAAGAGTTCTACCTGGAACTAAAAATGGTTCTTCAAAGGGTTCTCCTATGGGACAGCCACAGAGCCCTTTTGGAACCCTTTTTTCTAAGACTGTAGTCAGGAACCCATTGTATCTGGATATTTTACAACAGATCTGGAGGGTCAAACCATTTAAATCATCAATATACCACCCTGTAAAATAATTGACAGGTGCCGCAAGTCTGCACAAACAGATCTTTGACTCGAGCTAATTCAGAGATGCATTCTGCAACATTTTCAGTAGCCATTGTTTATATATGTCAATTTTTTTAAATCTAACTAATGAAATAAATGCACTTCGGGAGCATCTCACTAACAGTGTGGTAGATTTACTTTGCTATCTATGGGATATTTTCCCACATAACATCGGTATGGTGTGTCCAGTCAGCAAATTGTTACAGTGCCATAAACTGTTTTCTTATTCTGCAATACTCTGATCCTCTCCTCTTTGGACAGATGCTGGGGGACCATTGCAAAATGGAGACATAGAGGTGAGTGACTTAGTATTGTAAGCTTGATCCAAATAAATCTATTTATTCTTTGATGTAATCAATATCTCAGGTACCATATACAGCCGTGGTGCCTTTGAGCAAGGCACTTAACCCCCAAACTGCTCCAGGGTCGCTGCTCTGCAGCTGACCCTGTGCTGCTACCAGCCTTTGTATGTGTGTGTTTGTGTGTTCATGTGTGTGTGTGTGTGTGCAGGGCTGTAACCAGGGTTTGAGCTTTAGTGAGGTCCCCCACCCCCTCCGCAGTGAGGATTTTTTTCAAAAGTTGAAGCTCATTTACTGCATTTCTATACAATTTAAACACTTTAAAATGCTATTGGGAGAACAACAAAAACAAGCAAAAATTACCCCAGCCATTATCACATTGGCTAATGTAGGTTCATTCACCTCAGTCGAGCTATAAACACATAGCCTATTAGCTATACAATTGTAATATTATACCCCTGAAAGGGGGGAAATATGAGAAATTATTCACACTGACACGTAGCATCAGAGACTGTTCAGTCAGTTGTAATGATGAATTGCATAAAATCAATATCAGTGATGTATTTAAAAAAAAAAAAATTGTGGGTAATTACATTTACATTTTAGTCATTTAGCAGACACTCTTATCCAGAGCGACTTACAGTTAGTGAGTGCATACATTTTCATACTGGTAATGAATAAAAAATATAAACTCCAGTGGGCGATCGAGATAAGACGAACAACCAACGATATAAACGAAAACGTATTACATTTTTAGAACGGTATTGTTTTGCCTTTTGATGCATTTTAGTGCTCGTCTACAGGGAAGATAGGCCAGGTGGAGATTTTCATATCAAAACATATATTTAATTTTTTCCCTAACTTGTTTGATAAGATTTGTACAGATTTTCTCAGGGGACCCCACATGGAGCCCAGACCCCAAGTTTGCGAACCACTGTACTAACCTCTCTCTCTCCTTGCTTCCCCTCTGTCTGTCTCCTCCTGCATGAATTGCAGCCTGCCTCAGCTTTACTGAGTGCCACATCACTGGATGTCTCAGTAGCCTACTCAGGAGTACATTCATTTCCAATGGAACGCTGCGTTTGCCTTGCAGTATTGTGTTGCAGAGGCAGTTGCAGTGCGTTCTGTGTGGTGCATAGGTTGGATTTATCGAATTTATGCATCAATTTGTACACGTAAACGGCCTGACAGAAATGGGAGCAGAAGGTAAATGTTTAACTTTTGTAGCACACATATCCAGATGATGCTGCATACCATTTTGCGCAATGACACTGTTTGTGTGATCAAGGCATAAAAGTAATACTGGCCAAAGCCCTTCAACATTAGAGCCAATGTATGCTTGATCTGCTATGTGGTTGGAGGCGCCGTATGGATGGTGTGACTCAATGCTGGGCCTCCGGAGGCAAGCAGAGGCCAAATTGAGCTCTGTACCGCATCACCATTCCCCTCTCAAATGTTGTAACAATATGGAGGGCTCCGTATAGCTCTGCATTGACATGATTGGTTGACGGTAGGTGAGGGCGGGAGGTCCTGTATAGACACAAACTCACTTCCTTGACAACTTCCTTCACAACAGCTCTGCTCCGCGAAGCTCAAGAAGTATAAATGCCCTGACTTCTGCAGAGGCCAAATCACCGTAAATGCTGCACGGCCAATGCAGACCACAGATTGACCATGTAAGGCCTTTGATCACCGTAAATGCTGCACGGCCAATGCAGACCACAGATTGACCATGTAAGGCCTTTGACTGCAATATAAATCTCTACCCGCTGCTAGCCAATTGACGGATTATTTATAAGCGACTATTTACCAGTTGTGCACTCATTTTCAGTTTGTTTTTGTTTGTTTGGGCGATGTCTGTAGTCGCAGGTCGGTTTAAAAATGGCATTTTATCCGGTATCTCGCAAACACACTGACAGCAGTGTCTCTAGCCGCCTACTTGAGCCGAATCCAAGCTGGGGTTGTTCGTTTCACGCTGTCTCTGCGAGAGGGCGGAGTTAACCGTTTGAGAGATTGGTGGATATAGGCTACTGCTAAAAACCCAAATCCGGGGGGCGCAGGCTAATTTAACGAACAAAGCACTGGTCATGATTCTACTTGTTCGCAAAGAGGCAGGCGCGATTACAACTAAATCACATCAAAAACATAAGCGTTCTGAGCTTTGATCACCGCTGGGACCAATATATAGATGTTGACCCGTAATTGATTTTCTTTATTGTGTACAAAATATAAACTTTTATTCTTATTATTTTTTTCATATGAGAAAAAAGGACCTCAGTGTCCTCATATGTAGTTACGGCCCTGTGTGTGTGTGCCAGGTTGGTAACTGTGTCAGCAAATAAGTAATTGGTTTCTATAATAAAGCTATATTTTCAAGTCAACATCCGTTTCACATCTTTCACATTTACAGTTTGCTCCTCTATTCATGTACCTTGGTTGGAAACGAGGTACTAGCGACATACATTTGCCTTTGTACATGCATGCTCAAGCTAAATAAAATCTATTTGATAAAGACCTTATTATCTTCATTTCATTCTTCTTGCAGGAATTTGACGGCAAGCTGTGCATAGTGTGTCCAAAGCACAAGTACAAGATCTCTCTCGCCGAGGGGGAGGGCATCTACAGGGCCACCAACCCCAATGCCCCTGTGCCCACAACAAGGTGGTACTCCAAGGGCATTAAGCAAAGAGTCCACACGGTGACCGAGACCGACAGGGACGTCTATGTCACACTGTCCCACGTGTCCCGTTTTATTGAGTCTGACTACTTCCAGGGAGAGAAGGGCAAAGTAGAGAGGGAGAGAATGGAGGCCGAAGAGTCTTCTAAGAAATCTAACACAACCTCCTGATGGACTGCATGTCAATAGTCTAAAATGGCTTCCTCTCCTCGCCTCCTCATCTGCACTAATCTGAAGGGAAGGAGGCGAGGAGCGGAAGCCACGTCAAACTATTAAGATACATTTGGGGTTTTCCTAAAGTTGACTTGTCTTGAAATGGGGATGGAGTAATTATGGCAACATTGACATTTGATTTGTGTCCAGAAACTTGAACAGCCAATCAGATCTCTGACATAAATATGCTAAAGGCAGGATGTGAGTGAACTGAGTCTAAAAACTACCAATTACATGTTTCCTTAATGTGTGGGGTAGGGGTTATGTTTTTTTGTGTGAACATTTCATACATTCCATAAGAATCTGTTTTTATGTTTTAGTCTATCACGTTAAGTTATCTTATACAGATTATCTCACTCACTGCTCAGTCGACTTGTGAATTGTAGCTCCTTCTCAAGTGGGATGAGTTAAGTACCTGGAGAGCACAACACTCCTGTGGTTCAGTAATAAAGCTAATAAAATGAGTGCTGATGGCTTGTTTTCCTTTGGTTTCGATGTGTAGCAGCCAATTATATAATGGCCTTATGTCCCAGTGGGGATGAGGAGGATTAAGGAAGTAGGCCTCAGTAAAATGTGTATTCAGTGTATTCAGCTTCACAGCAGCACTGAACTCCTCTTTCTCTTGTTCATAGGAATACATATTGATATTGTTAACATTAAACTCAAGTCAATGTGTGGAAAGGGAAAATAACCCATAAACCCATTCATTAGAACAATGTAGAAAAATACACTGAGTACACAAAACATCGGTTTGTGTCAAGAACTGCAACGCTGCTGGGTTATTCACGTTCAACAGTTTCCCGTGTGGATCAAGAATGGTCCACCACCCAAAGGATATCCAGCCAACTTGACACAACTGTGGGAATCATTGGAGTCAACATGGGCCAGCATCCCTGTGGAACACTTTCGACACCTTGTAGAGTCCATGCCCCGATTAATTTGGTATACTTAGTGTATCTGGCTGTTTTCGCTGCATAACATTTAGAAGTAGTCCCTTTTCAGGTTTAGAAGAAGTGACTGCTAAATGCTAACTCCCTTTCGTATAATCAGGTTTCATAGGTAGCATAGAGAAATCGGTGGTGGTAGTCAGTCGTTTTTAACTGTAATGCAGTTCATTGGTGACAATGACATTAATATGTATTCGGGTTGACATCCATACAAGCATTTTTACCTCAACATGGTGTGAAATACATATGTAAACAATAACCTAAATGTGGGCTAATTTTGCTTTGGGGCAGTGGGAGATCTGGGATCTTTGGTTGAGTTCCATTGATCTCTTTATCTATGGTAATGTGGAATGTTTATTCAAATTATGCTAACTGATGGGCTTCTCGAGTGGCGCAGCGGTCTAAGGCACAGCATCGCCGCGCTTGAGGTGTTACTTCAGACCTGGGTTTGATCCCAGGCTGTGTCACAGCCAGCCGTGACCGGGAGACCCAAGAGGTGGTGCACAATTGGCCCAGGGTTAGCTGGCTGGGATTTCCTTTTCCCATCGTGCTCTAGCAGCTCCTTGTGGCGGGCCGAGAGCCTGAAAAATGACTGCGGTCGCTTGCTGGACGTTGTTTCCTCCGACACATTGGTGCGGCTGGCTTCCGGGTTAAGCGAGCAGTGTGTCAAAGAAGCAGTGCGGCTTGGCAGGGTTGTGTTTTGGAGGACGCATGGCTCTCGACCTTCACATCTCCTGAGTCTGTAGGGGAGTTGCAGCGATGGGATAAGACTGTAACTACCAATTGGGGTAAAAAAAATTATAAAAATGTTGCTAACTGATGTGGCTCATGCAGTGGAATGACTTTTTTGTAATGTCAGTTGAGTTGATTTAACAAATCACAGCACAGATTGATAGGTACACTTCCTGCTTTTACTTCCTGCAACACCTGGGCTACAACACCTGGACTATAAGGCATGCATGTATTGCTATTGTAATACGCAAAATGTGTATCTCGAAAGGATAGCCAATAGACGTGTGTCAGTTACCTCTCTCTGAGAACGTTTTCAGCAGGTTGCCACAATGGCCTGCAATAAGCACTGAATTAACATTATCCCCAGGACATTTATTTGTTAATTTATAAAAAATATACAGTGGGGAAAAAAAGTATTTAGTCAGCCACCAATTGTGCAATTCTTCCACTTAAAAAGATGAGAGAGGCCTGTAATTTTCATCATAGGTACACGTCAACTATGACAGACAAATTGAGATTTTTTTTCTCCAGAAAATCACATTGTAGGATTTATTATGAATTTATTTGCAAATTATGATGGAAAATAAGTATTTGGTCACCTACAAACAAGCAAGATTTCTGGCTCTCACAGACCTGTAACTTCTTCTTTAAGAGGCTCCTCTGTCCTCCACACGTTACCTGTATTAATGGCACCTGTTTGAACTTGTTATCAGTATAAAAGACACCTGTCCACAACCTCAAACAGTCACACTCCAAACTCCACTATGGCCAAGACCAAAGAGCTGTCAAAGGACACCAGAAACAAAATTGTAGACCTGCACCAGGCTGGGAAGACTGAATCTGCAAATAGGTAAGCACAGCTTGGTTCGAAGAAATCAACAACTGTGGGGGACGCAATTATTAGGAAATGGAACATACACCATATAATCTCTCGGGCTCCACGCAAGATCTCACCCCGGGGTCAACTGATCACAGAACGTGGCAAAAATCCCAGAAGTGGAATGACCTGCAGAGAGCTGGACAAGTACAAGTCCATCCCCTAGCGCCGGACTCAAATCTGCATGCAGACGTGTCCCCTCTAAGTACATGTCCAGGCCCGTCTGAAGTTTGCTAGAGTGCATTTGGATGATCCAGAAGAGGATTGGGAGAATGTCATATGGTCAGATGAAACCAAAATAGAACTTTTTGGTAAAAACTCAACTCGTCGTATTGGAGGACAAAGAATGCTGAGTTGCATCCAAAGAACACCATACCTACTGTGAAGCATGGGGGTGGAAACATCATGCTTTGGGGCTGTTTTTTCTGCAAAGGGACCAGGACGACTGATCCGTGTAAAGGAAAGAATGAATGGGGCCATGTATCGTGAGATTTTGAGTGAAAACCTCCTTCCATCAGCAAGGGCATTGAAGATGAAACGTGGCAGGGTCTTTCAGCATGACAATGATCCCAAACACACCGCCCGGGCAACGAAGGAGTGGCTTCGTAAGAAGCATTTCAAGGTCCTGGAGTGGCCTAGCCAGTCTCCAGATCTCAACCCCATAGAAAATCTTTGGAGGGAGTTGAAAGTCTGTGTTGCCCAGCGACAGCCCCAAAACGCTCTAGAGGAGATCTGCATGGAGGAATGGGCCAAAATACCAGCAACAGTGTGTGAAAACCTTGTGAAGACTTACAGAAAACGTTTGACCTGTGTCATTGCCAACAAAGGGTATATAACAAGTATTGAGAAACTTTTGTTATTGACCAAATACTTATTTTCCACCATAATTTGCAAATAAATTCATTAAAAATCCTACAATGTGATTTTCTGGATTTTTTTTCCTCATTTTGTCTGTCATAGTTGACGTGTACCTATGATGAAAATTACAGGCCTCTCTCATCTTTTTAAGTGGGAGAACATGCACAATTGTTGGCTGACTAAATACTTTTTTTCCCCACTGTACTTATTTCCCTCATTAAAATGCAAATCAATTCATAACATTTTTGACATGCGTTTTTCTGGATTTGTTTGTTGTTATTCAGTCTCTCACTGTTCAAATAAACCTACCATTAAAATTATAGACTGATCATGTCTTTGTCAGTGGGCAAACGTACAAAATCAGCAGGGGATCAAATACTTTTTTCCCTCACTGTACATTACTCTTAATGAATTTCCACGTGGGTGAGGATATTATAAATTTGATCAAAGCCTATTGGATGACAACTTGTTTTTAACTAGGACAGAGGAATTTATAACTGATTTTTTTCGACATAACATAGGTACAGCAAATCCCCTTATTATATGGGACACTTTTAAATGTGCCTTTAAAGGCCATGCAATTCAGTACTCATCTCGAAAACAAAAGCAATTTAGGTCAAAAGAGTTCATACTAACAAAGGAAATAGAAGGTCTAACAGAACAGATAGATAGTAATAAAAACTGAAACATAGAGGCTCAGAATAAATTAGAGGAAAAACAAAAAGAAATGGAGAAACTTATTCAAGAAAGATCAAGTGTCATATATTATAAAAATAAAGCAAACTGGATGGAATATGGGGAAAATGCACCAAGTTATTTTTAAATCTTCAACATAGAAATGCTACCAAAAATAATTTACTGAAACTGGTTACAAATGACGGAGTCACCCATGATTCACCAAATGATATTTTGAAGGAGGAAACAAAGTACTTTAAGCATATGTTTTCGTTTCAGTCGCCTCCCATCTCCTCTAACTGAAGCTAATTGTAGAGATTGTTTTCTATTGATAATGTAAAACTAACAGCTATACAGAAAGACTCATGTGAAGGTGAAATTACAGAGGAGGAACTTCTGGATGCAATTAAAGACTTTAAGTCCGGGAAAACTCCAGGGTTGGATGGCATACCAGTCGACGTATACCAAACCTTTTTTGATATACTCAGAAGACTGTTATTAGCATGTTTTAACCACTCCTATGTAAATAGTAGATTATCAGACAATCAAGAAGAAGGGTTGATTTCATTATTACTGAAACAGGATACAAGTGGAAAATATAAAGATCCAGTCCATTAAAAAAATTGGAGGCCCCTTACACTTCAGTGTTGTGATGCAAAAATTCTAGCAAAATGTATAGCGCATAGAATTAAAAAGGTATTGTCGGACATTATTCATTCTAATCAGACAGGTTTTTTACATGGACGATACATTGGAGATAATATAAGGCAAGTACTTGAAACAATAGAACACTATTAATATTCTGGGAAACCAGGCCTGCTATTCATAGCAGACTTTGAAAAGGCATTTGATAAAGCACGACTGGGGTTTATATATAAATGCCTGGAGCATTTCAATT